CTGAATACTGGTGCAATATCGCCTACTTTGAGCTGGATCAACAAGTTGGGGAATTGTTTAAAGTTCCTAGCCAGTACTCCCGTGTGACTGTTGATGGGTACACAGATCCATCTAGTCCAAACCGGTTTTGTCTTGGACAACTGTCAAATGTCCACAGGTGAGTTCAATTTTATTTTTCTGAAGTTAATAGTGTGAAAAGTCAATCGTTTTCATATTGATTGAGCAAAAAAGCTTAACAGATGTGACTTGTAGCAACACCTAATAGTATTTTGTCGATGATTTAACTTTATGGAACCAGCAGGACTCCTCACTATCTGCAAATACTTTTTAAAATTATAACTTGTGGGCTCTTTTTCGACTTAGAAGCTTTAAAGAAAGTGTATATGTATATCGACACAGAAATCAGTCTGTAACTTTAGTTCGAAGAGATTTTGATGCTCTACGGTTGTGTTTGGGGTTCATATGTAGACATTTTGTGGGTATGTACTTAAGTAGTGGTTCACTGACAAATGTATTAATTCTTATGTACTAATCAGGATTTACACGTATCGCTCTACAGAGTCAAACTTCTTGGCATCACATTGATAACGATGGGCAAGTATGACATCAGGGAAATTTGTCATTCCTTTATTTCCACTAGTTCTAACTTACAGTTGTAATCGTTTTCTTAAGATACCATATGACACAGTGTGGCTTTCCATTCATATTTTTAATGCTATGTTATCCACCAGGCTTTGAGATTATAAATGTTAACGGCTGTCACACTTCTTTTATATGTCAGTGGTGGTCAAACTAAAACATGGCATCAATCAATGAAATCCACAACAGTTAGTTTAAGCCACGTAGGAAGGTGTAGACTTCCTGGTTGGGGCCCTCGGGACGGTAAACACCAATGGCTGGAAACAATTGGTGATATGGTCGAGTTTCGTGGTAGATACCAAATAGTGTAACTCAAAACATAACCAGGATGCAGGTCCATTTACATCTTAATTTAACTATAATATCACATACCTTTTTCCCCCTTGGATTTTTGGAATTTCTGATTTTATTGATTTTATTTTTTCTCGGTATTTAAAAATTTAAATTCATATACAGTCGTGTAAGATTCGAGTACAATACCGTCATATTGTACACTTGAAATGACACCATTTTCTAAAGCGATTGAGTGAATGGTTTATGTATGATTCGCTGGTGGAGATGCAGTATATTTGCTTTAACATTCGACTTTCAACCAGTGGGTCTGAGTTTTGAATTCTGCCTCATCTTCAGCCCGAGAAACTGTGTAGTATCGTCAACTCTCACACAATATATAGAGATCATAGCCTGCAACATGGAGATTTCTAACTAACTGAGAGGGGCTCGTCTGAAATCGCCAGTTTTATTACTAGTTTGTAAACTTAAGTACAATGTCACTGATGAGTCCTGTGATTCTACGCTTTTTTCATTGATCTTTTTATGTGAGGGAATTATTTTAAAACCGTCTTAAGTTTATCACGATTTCTATCTTTATGTTACTTGTTTGATTGTGGCTCGCACCAGACTTTCATCGCCACACATTATCGAACAGATAATTGGTAAAAATACTTTTCTTCAGCGAATTAAGAAGGTTAGTCTGCACACCTCAAGCAGCTTATATTCACTCCTAAATTCACCATAAGATTATTGAGTAGTCGCTTCCTGTTCGTCAAATGATCATCTGAAGTGTCCTACGTTAACAAGTCACTTGGCGGAATAACCGCTTGGTTAGAATTCAGTCAACACAACACAATATTGGCTACCCAGCAGTAATGAGTCAATGTCTGTGTATGTAAAGAAACTTTCCCTAATTTTAGTTTCTTCTGTCTTTAAGATAAATTCATCGAAGATGTGGCGTATAGAAGCTATACGACATGAAAACTTTTTATAGTAATAAAGTAGGATTTACCATACTAACATCGCATGAAGATAAGCTGTGATTATCAGAATCTTACCGTAAGTAGTCCAGTTAATGAGCCGAAACAATAATCTATACGTGAGAGTCAGTGATATGAACCTAGGTGGCATTCTGGTTCAATTCGTGGGCTAATTTACAAATAATTCCCCTTCCTCTACAGAGTATATTTTACCCTATCCGTTGATTCAATTTTGTACCCTGTTCAAATGTATGCTGGACAGCCAGGATATTTCCAATTGATAAATATTTTGTGACAGATTTTATTGGATGACTTTAGATATGCTATTACTATAAAATTTTTTCATATTGTTATGTTCAGGTCAGAACAATCTGAAAAGTCTCGACTTTATATTGGCAAAGGTGTAGAGTTGGATAATGTTGGAGAAGGTGATGTATGGATTCGCTGTCTTTCAGAATTCTCTGTGTTTGTTCAAAGCTACTATTTAGATCGTGAAGCCGGCCGTGCTCCTGGAGACGCTGTTCATAAGATATACCCGGGTGCATATATCAAAGTAAGATGTCAGATGAAAATAGTTTTATTTAAAATGTGTCTCACTGTGCACTCCCCTTATGAATGTAATTTCAAGTTGTAGATTAGACATTCAAAATACCTTCTAATGCGTTAGATTGAATATTTTTTCCATTCCGATATAATGCCAGGAAATTTGCAAGCACTGTCGACAATCTGTATGTATTGTGTGGTTTTGAATTGATTTCTACGAGTATTGAAATGGCTGTGAGATTGCCTTGATGTTTTGAATTTGTTTTAAACACATCCCTTTATTCATATTTGATGTAGGTTGCTGCTCTTACATCATATAACTTTTTCCTCTTCTGCCCTAGGTTTTCGATATTAGACAGTGTCATGAAGAAATGAAGTCTCTTGCTCAATCTTCTCATGCCGCTGCTGTACGCCAGGCTGCAGCTGTTGTTGGGTCACCAACAACAAGCGATCTGTTATCTCAGCTTCCAGGGGCACTACCTCTAGGTTCTGGTCAGTCAACTCCAGGTTCCGTACCCGGTATATTAGGTACAGGAGCGTCAATCATGGCCACTGCTGGTGTAGGTGTAGATGATCTGAGGCGTCTATGTATGCTTCGATTGAGTTTTGTGAAAGGATGGGGACCTGATTATCCTCGACGTAGTATCAAAGAAACACCATGCTGGATAGAAATACAGTTGCACAGGTGAGATTAACTGAATTGTTTACTTTCAATACTTTTAAAAAAATACTTTTCTGTTATAAGGAAATTCAAGCTCTTAGATTCAAATGAAGGTTGTTTAAGCAGTTGATGGGTAGTAGACTGTATGAATTGAAATAAGTTTCATACCACTGCTAACCGTTTCTTTCTATCCACTTTATTTTATTCGAAGTATGATTCTGATAGATCAGTTAACAATTGTGTTGTTGTTAGAAAACAGGTGCTATTCGCCTAACTCTGATCACATTTAAATATGCTCATTTTGAATTTAGGTTGCTCAAAATTAGTTTCATCGGCTTTAAATAAGTTTATGCCTTCATCAAACTATGTGTATCTAGTCGCTTAAACTCCGGGCGAGTTTAGGATAGTTGGCTCAAATTAGCATAAATTAACACTGGCGGGGTTAGCATTCTTCGGAATTATTTCGTGACAGTTCTGTGCTTGTAAAATAAGTCTTTATGATACAGCTAACATATTAAAGGTTACTTCTGTAGCGATTTAATTTTCCGAATTTTTTCCTTTCAGACCCTTGCAATTACTGGATGAAGTCTTGCAGGCTATGCCTCTTAACGACCTGAAACCAACGAGACATTTCTTTTCCTATTTCCCACAACCATCTGGTTGTAATACAGTCAGACCAACAGCAGCAAAACGCGTATAGAGATAGAGACAGGATTAATTAATCTTCCTTCCTTTCTCTTTTTAATGCAAGATTCAAACTTTTATTTTAATTAATCTAATTCTTTGTACTTTTAAGCCCCTTGTCGATGGTTTGTTGCATATTTTTCAGTCAGTGCATCGGTCCCAATCATTTCATCCACTCTTCAATTCTAAGTCAACTGTTTAACTTCGTAACTTTTGCAAACAAAACATCAGGTATCTTATAATATTATTTTTTTTTCTTTTTTGTATGTACCCGCTAGAATAAGTTTAACATCTGCTCAACATATTTCCAACTGTAATTCTTTTCTCATTTTTACATACACACTCATTGTTTATAAATATCATCTGTGCGCCTTTTACCAGGTAATTTTAATATTGTTTTTTTTTTAAAAGAAAGTCTTGCGTGTATCTACATTTGAGTTATCACCCTTGTTGACGTTGTCGATTTCGTCTACAGCTGATTAGTATGCGGTTTGTGTGCAGTTTATTATTTGTAAGATGATATGAGAGACGATTATCTTGTTTTGTGACGCTTTGAGTGGAAGAAATGATTTTTTTAAAAAAAAGCTTTTAACTTCGTGAGTATGAAGCAAAAAACCCCGTTTATCTTTATAAATTGTTTATATGATTTTAAGTTTTCCACTTATTGGAGATCTTTGTAAATCAAAAGTTTATCACCCCTTGTTGTTTTTAATTTTTGGTTTTTACTTCGTTTTGCTTTATTTTTCTCTACTTTAATTGTTGATTTTTAGGCATACAAATACGTTTAGACGCTTGTCTCTCTACTACTAATTCTCTTAATTACTTGACTTATGCATCTGTGTACTCCAATAAATTTTCAATGATATTCTAAAGAAATTCTTTCAATAACTACCATTAGTCAGCTCCACTCAACAATTATGTAAGAGAAAATGGAGACGGATCGGGCACACATTGAGGAAACAGTCGAATGACATCGCGCGCCAGGCCCTCGTGTGGAATCTTAGTGGGAAGCGACGAGTGGATCGTCCTAGGATGACATGGAGGAGAGATTTGTGGGCAGTCGTGGTCCAAGTTGAAGAGGATGGCAGAAGATAGGATAAAGTGGAGATATGTTACTGAAGCCCTATGTTCCACTTGGAAATCAAGGGAATCATAATAATAATAGTCAACTCCAGCATGTGCTAGCTTTTTGTGGACTTATGGGCGAAAGTTTGCGTGTTAATTTAAAAAAAAGTGTATCGTACAAGCAAACGTACTTTATCATTTACAATCACTATTGCGTTTAATTGTGGATCACACCTGGATTCTTTCTATGTTTGCCTTTGCATAGCAAAGGGTTTGCGATACTAAGTGGCTAAAGTTGGGGTCAGAGTCTTGGCTCACCGGTTAAATAGACATATGGTTTTGCGTGTATCATGGTACAGCGTGGTTACTGGGATAAATCCACTCACTAATAGTGGAATTTAAATGATTAGTTCCCACCGCGTTTTGGTGTTCCTCAGTAGATAGATGTCCCAGTTAAACAAGTGGGAGTAGAGCTGAGTCAGTGTGGCAGGACTTAATTGCATAGTACACATGATGAAGCACACAGTAATGTGGTACTAATCATCTGGTGAAGGAAGTACTGACCAATTGTTTTACTAAGGTAGTGAAAATTTTCAACTGTTCGTTTACATTGTTCAATAACACCTTTGGATTTTATGAGTAATCATTTTGTGTCTCCACAACTAATAATGTATTGTGTAAACGGAGGTTTTTTGTAGCATATCGTGTATATACAGCGATAGGTGGAAAGAGGAAATTCAAATATACGGTTCAGTGGTTGTAGCTCATTCCACAAAAGCACGTCAGTCTGTGAAGGTGTGTAAATTGTAGCACCCGAAGGTGTGCCTATCAAAGTGTGATTTACGGCGTAATTCACACCAGGGTTGAAATCTCACATACATTGTATGTCTCAATCACAGGACCTTATCAGCAGTACCTTACGATTTCTGGCGCATAAATGATCTATGAGGGAAAACAGTTTTTGTTCAGTGAAGAAATATTGCTCTCCAACAACTGTACAGTCGTATTTACATCACGGAAAAAGGCATTAAGTGGCCCTAAAAATTGCTCAGTCAATATTGCACATATGATAAGAATAAAGATAATTGAAATGATGTATTAAAGCGGTAGAGTTGAAGTGGTGAATTATGAAACTTTCAAAGATCATTAAATAAGTGAATTCTGTTCTATTAAGTATTTAAAAGCAGGTCAAGTTTTGTCTAAAAATTAAGTGTACCATGGTGATAACAATAAATAAAGCGGAGATGAAGTGAATTGGAATGAATTCGAGTTGTGAAATAGAATAAAATTTTAAAAGAATACATAACAAGGTATAAATGCTAATAGAAGTGTAAAACTTGGGCACTCTGGTAGTAAGTAATTCTATATTAGTTTGTTTATTAGATGTATCACACAGTGAAACAGCATTATTTACTGGGTGACGTTTCGAAAAAAATTTATTGTTCATAATCATATCAATTATAATCACACGACTCCTATGATAGTGATAATAATAATAATGACGACATGCATGTCAAACATATGCGGGATAATGACAACACCAGCAATAAGGAATCGAAATCATCAGTAGTAATTCCATACAAGGAAGGAACCTCGGAAATCTTACGCAGAATTCTTAACAAGGTAGGAATAAAAGTGGTATTCTAACCCATAAACTCAGAAACAAGCTTTGTCGGTTAAAGGATCCTGTGGAGGCTTTAGAACAAAACAATTTAGTTTATCTAATACCCTGTAATGATTGTCAGGTCAAACTAGTAGAACAGGGACAGACAGACTAGCCGAACATAAAAATCTAGGTTGGTTGACCCGAATAAGATAAGAAATCTAGAGAATAGTTCAGCTATAGCACTACATGCAATTACACATAACCATACAATAGGATGGGATAAGATGACAGTTTTAAAATCGAATGTCACAGGGTGGAGGGCGAGATTGGTAATAGAAGCTTTGTTTATCGAATCAACTGAGGAGAATACGCGAAATAAGAATGATTCAACACCTGTCCATCCAGATATCTGGAAAATTCTACTACCCCTACGACGACAAATAGGAGAGAACAAAAAAAACTATAAAACTCAAGTTTCGAGGTCGTGCGATTATAATTGATGATATGATTATGAACAATAAATTTTGTTCGAAACCACTTCATCCAGTAAATAATACTGTTTCACTAACTGTGTGATAAATCTAATGAACAAACTAATATGGAAGGTGTAAATGATCTGCCTATTTAAATAAACAAAATATAATGGAGTAAGTTGATTTTCATTGCTCTGCTGCAAGAAGTCGGTAGCCTTTTGCTGATGGTGTCGCTAGTATATCTGTTAGACTTGTGAGTCTTAATCATAGATTCTCTTTCTAGCAATACTGTTCTTTGAAGATTTATGATTTGTTTAGCATAAATATAATCAATTAGTGACTGATTATAGCATAGACAAGTATGTTTTGTTTATTTTTTTATTTGTGATTACAGCTTGATTCCTAATTGTGGTGGACTGGATTATGCGTCAGACGGTGGGAAACGAGAAGACAGGGATATCCTGGACCGACGTGAAGAACCTAGAAGACCTGGATTTCGCAGATGATGTATGTTTGATGTCACACAAGATCGAAGACTTACAAGCGAAAACCGACAAACTGGTCGAAGAAGTAGCAAAGACAGGACTCCAGGTGAACATAGACAAGACGGAGGTTATGAAAATAACCAACCAACCAACAACAACAGCAGCAGCAACATCCAGCGCCAGTCACCATCAACGGGAGGGATTTGAAAGAGGTTACTTCTTTCACTTATCTAGGGAGCATTGTCTCAACTACAGGAGGAACGGACGAGGATGTCAAATCGAGAATCAAGAAGGCAAGAAACGCATTCATCAACCTGAAACCAATCTGGAAATCTTCCGCTGTCACTCAGCCTGCATCAACAACAAAATTCGGATTTTCAATACAAACGTCAAGTCAGTCATTTCTTCTATACGGATCAGAAACTTGGCCAGTGTGTCACAAAGAATATTTCCAACAGCCTGTTTCAGACCTTTATCAACAGCTGTCTTCGTTCTATACTGAAGATCAGATGGCCGGAAAAAACAAGAACCAACAAGAAACTATGGGAACAAACAAAACAAGAACCAATCGCTCAACTTATATGCAAGAGAAAGTGGAGATGTATTGGACACTCGCTGAGGAGGCCGTTGGGTGACATCGCGCGTCAGGCCATAACTCGAGTGGAACCTGAAAGAGAAGCGGCGAGTGGGACGTCCAAGGGTGACATGGAGGAGATCGTGTGAAGAGGAGCTGAAACAGCAGGGACTAGCATAGATGCAGGTGAGAAGTACAGCAGAAGACAGAAGCAAGTGGAGGTGTGCAGTTAAAGCCCTATGTTCCACTAGGAACCCAAGGGAACAATAATAATAACAGCTTGATTCCACACCGTATTTTTGTTACAAGTATGGAATTTTCAGCATGTGATGTCGGTAGCCCAAATTTTGCAGGCCGACCATAGATATCAGGTTTGCGGCGGCAGGACGATGTGCATGGTCGGCGAGAGTCGTAACCACTCTGCCACCGACGCATACATTCCTTGTGATAGTCTGTAGCTACAGCGTTATGTACAGTAGTTCGCTTAATGTAATTCATTGTTAGTTTCTCTAAATCCTATGCAGTGGCCAACTGGTGATTTCAGTTACACTGATTTATGAACCATAAAAATGTAAAAAATAGCCTAGGCTAGCGTGGGTTTTCGTGGTACTGGACATCTGAATATTTTTACTCTTTTTTTTCGGAATATGCAACCTTGAATAAATACTGATGTTTACATGGGATTATAGATCTTTGTTTTTCAAACATATATATATATATATATATATATATATATATATGACCCTTACATGTCTGGATCAATAGTTTCGCCCTTGTAAACCGTAACTAGTGAAAACAAAAGTTCCATTCATTCTACGTGAAGAATTTTAAACATGCATATGAGAATAGGCACATTTCCATAACTAAGTTTTTCTGAATGCTTTTGTGTGTGTATAATTATACCTGCTTCTTCTTCGTCAACAAACTAGGTCAGAGACTAAGTAGCTTAATTTCATTGGTTTATTGATTTAATTCTGATTTGTAATAAAGATATTTTGAATAGAAAGAGTCCCGTTATTGAGATCTATTGATTTCCAAGTAGCGTCCCTAGCGACATGTTATGTTAATTTATTATTTTATTAGTCTTTTCAATTATTTAACCAAATGCCATATTTTGTTAATGCAAAGTAGGTTATTTTTTGTATTTTTATTAATGAATAGTTTAATCGAGTGCATAAAATAATACCAAAGTCTTATTTGCGATTCGGATGTCAGATTTATAGAGATTTCATTGATGTGTAGGTAGATCTTCGTTGTTTGTTGACAAAAACTTGAAAACCATTGGAAATAAATAGTTGCTAAACAGGTGCTTTGTCTTAGTTTGGGACTCCTTAGTAATGTGCATCTTTGTCAGGTTAATAAGTCAGGCCCAGGAAATTTCAGGTTGCGCTGCGAGCGCATTACTATTTACCTGAGTAGATCCTGTGAGTCGCGAATTCCCTGAAGAACTTCGGCAATCCACATCGAAATCTGTTTGTTTCAGAGGACTGGGTGAAAATTAAATGGTTGGAAGGGCCAATATCTCTCGATTTTTTGGTATATCTTCACTCTTAATGGAAATAGCTACTGGAAGGCAGATAATCAATTCTAAACATCTACGAGTTTGTATTTCGAATAGGTATATAAATATCATTAAACATTGACCCGATAGTATTTATGAGGACGGTATATATGTAGGCTGAACAAATTTCAGTTTCACCCAGCATATTTTTGTTGTAGCTAAGACTCTGCACATAAGCTTAACTTGATATGAACTTACCGAGTAAACTATTTGGCTTTGTTTTCAAGAATGTTAACAATATGTTTCTTCTGTACAGTAAGATAGTTGTATGGTCTAGGACACCAGTGTTGTTTCTTTAATGAACCAATGGTTGATTGCACGTGGATGCAGATTCGTTTGTCATGTATTCGTGCAGCCAGTAGGCGTTGTTGTCCGC